AGAGGTATTTGGACACAACTTCTCAAATTAAAAATATCACACTAATAATCCTGTTGATTCCTTCATTGATCTTTGGTATTTATATTTATGATACTTAAACTATAAGAGCCTTAAAAATTTTCAAATCAATAATCTAATCTCAAGAATCTTCTCTTTCTTGATAAAAATTTAAAGATACAATCATTATTATTAAGATATATAAATTAAAAACCAAATTCCTAAGGTAGCAATGTTTAAGACCACAAAACCTTTATAGATTATTCATATCAATGTATGTGGATGTATTTTAGTTAAATCTTTAATTCATTTATATTATTTTATTATATTTATTGACAACTTTGTTAAAAACTTCTGAATCTATTTTATGATTATAAAGAATTAATCCCTTAAAATGTTCAAGAAATTTTACATATTAATTGAGAAGTAAACCTATAATTACATCTTATTGCTCTATTTTGATCAAAGAAGCAAGTTCATGTCATAAGTGTTCACCAAGTATCTGCAAGACTAAAATATCACTTGTAAGTTGTCTATTATACATTCCAACATAATGGGGTATCAAAAAAGAAAAATATAACTATCTTGAACAATGTATGAGCAATGTTAATAAGTAAGATTATACCTTTATTTCTTTGGATTGAAGCTACTTACATTGATGTCCAACTCATTAATTATAATCCTATTTGAATAAACCAAGGTAAGCCTCTTGACTATCTCTTCTATAAAATAAAGCCAAATATTAGTTGAATAAAAATATTTGGATATTTCTATTTTATAAGAAAAGATAATATATAAAGATGTTGTCACGGACATATGCATGTAAGCTAGTAATTACATTTATAAATAGGTAGAAGTAAGTAAAAATAGGTAAAAATAAGTTAATTCTATAATATTTGCTATGAAAGCTTCTTAGAAGCTTTATAGACGCTGCTTTGACTTTATAGGTTTCTTTAATTGACTTTTTGGATTAGAAATGTAGACAACAAGTTGGCCATGTGCCACACATGTTGTTAGCTTGAAGACCAAGCTAACTATGTGGCTCACATATAGAAAAACTTGCCTTGTAAGTCAAGGCATGTGTCTTACAAAGTCAACACATATTGGAGGTCCTATAGAACATCACCATGTAGCCTTTAGTTAGATAGTATATATAGAGACAAGAGTGAAGCCCTCTTCACTCTTGTCAACTTCTTTCTTGCTTCTATTCTAGTTTCAAGGGTCTCTAGTTTTCTTGTCTTTTGGCAATAGCCATCCAATTTCTTTCTTAATATACATATTGAGTTATTTCTATTTTTTCATCTTTCTATGAAAATAGTCTCACTTGTTTATTTTTTTCTTATCAAGTTCTTGTCCTTGACGGATACCAACTTGAATCTAGATCAAAATTTGACATCTATCTAAGAATTGATGATGAATCTAAAGATTATAAAGTATACTTTTCTACTTTTTGTAAAATCCAAGTCTTTTGTATTATCTTATTTGATGAAACTTGATTTTTTAAATTACATCTTATAATGACAATATTTAGTATAAAATCCTTTCAAATACTTTATTTTAAAGGGACTATATTCAATAACATCAAAGATGACGAAAATGTTAGAATTGAGATCATATTTATTCTATGCAATTACTATGTTACCTCAAAAAAGCCATAAAGATAAAAAATCCTCTATATTCATCTCATACTTCATCTCACTAGACTAATTCACATCAAATTTAAGCCTCCTATTTATCTCTAAAGATGCTCTTATATCAATTCCATAATTAAATTTTATGCCATATTACAAAAAATTAGAGGACATCGACATCTAGCCTACTTATAGCAATAACAATGCATATTCAATTGAATCAAATACCACTATTGAATACTTTGATGATGAAGTAGAAAGCCAAAGCAGATTTAAGCACTCATCTAACAACCTCATCATCACTCTTTTGGTGATTTATTCTGGTAAGTATATAGCCAAACTACTAAAATGGATATAAGTCTAGTTTTGCGACTTCATCAATCTTTTTAATATTGAGCCCTTATCTTACATTGTAGCTATCAAAGATGAAGGATAGAAAAAGAAAATGCAAAATGAAATGTTGTCTATCTACAATAATAAAACTTGAATTATTATCTCAATTTTATCTTGCAAGCAATTCATTTCAACAAAATTATTATTCAAGGCTAAGCTAAAATCAAATGGCAACTTATAAAGGAAAATGCCAAATTAATAGTTTGTAGTATTGAACAAAAAGCAAGAATAGACTATAATGAATTTTTTGCTGTAATTATAAAATATAAAATTATACAAATGATGATATCATTAGCAGCATATAAGCAGTGGAAACTTTATCATATAGATATTAAGATTGTCTTTTTCTATGTTGATTTGAAGGAAGAAGTATATATCACACAACTACAAGGTTTTATTAAAATGAGACAAGAACATCTTGTTTGCAAAGTCCTTAAAGCACACTATAAATTCAAACAAGTGTTTAAAGCTTGGTATGAAAAAATCAACTTTTTTCTCAAAAAACAAGGTTTTTGTAATAGAAAAGGCAACTACAATCTCAATATTGTCAAAAATACAAAAAAAATATTGCTATTTGTCATATATGTAGATGACATATTTTTTATTGATGGCTATTTAAATTAGATAAATTGATTTACACAATTCATATTCAAATTTAAAATGTCAAAATTCAGCAAAGGCATTATGGTACTTTACTTCAAATTCAAATACATCAAATTACTTGAAGGTATTTCTATAATTCAACAGAGCTATATACTATAAATCTTGAATTTTTTTTTTTGCATAAAGAATTATATTCCTGCCACAATACCAATGCAAGAATGACTAAAACTTGTAGTAGACAAGATTGTAAAACCATGTGATCCTACTTACTACAAATCTATAGTCAAGAAATTAAACCACCTCATTCATACTTGGTTTGATACCTCAACGACTATTGGTAATTGCTCAAGATTCCTTTCTTGTTCTCCACAACCTCATTTAATAGCCAAAAGGGTAGTTAAGTACATTAAACACACTTAAGACTATAGAATCTTCTACTTTTTTAAATCCAACACCAACATAACTAGCTTCATTAATATAGACTACGTAAGAGATATGACAAAAGAATTGCTCTATAATGGGCTTTACATTCATGCTTTGCTTTGATCCTATCACCAAGCTTTCTAAAAAACAACCAATAGTAGCCATGAGCTCTTCTAAAGTCGAATATATGATTTTACCCACTTCTTCCAAAGTAGCCACTTGACAAGGTAAGCTCACCTCCAACTTTGATCTTCAAATTACAAGATCTATTTTTATTAATTGCAACTATAAGGATAGTATTTGTATGGCAGTGAATCCCAACATCAACTCCATGACAAAATATATTCATATACATTACCATTTTACACAATAAAAAAAATACAAAGTAGAGAAATTATACTAAAGCATGTCTCTTTATTAAAACAAGTTGCTTGCATCTTTACACAATCTTTTGAAAAAGGCCTATTTAAAAAATAAAAAATAATTCTAAACCTTATGTCCTACTTTGAAGTTCTAGACTATAAACCTCACAATTTACAATGTATCACTTATTATCCCTAATCCTTTAAAAAGATATTTGAATACTTGCCTTCTATCAAATGATTTGCATCTACTTATTGCTAAAATCAAAAAGCTTTAAAGAATATTTTCCACTTGTGGGAAGTAACTATGGACTTTTTATTCTCTCTCTCTATAGCTATATAATCAACATCCTTCTTTGCTAATCTTTTTCCCCAATTGTCATGCTTTGCTTGAAAAAGGTGCAACAATTTCAAAATCTCTCATAAGTAAATATTCAAGTAGCAAGGTCCAAATAAAAACATACAACCAATGACAAGCCTCCACGTTTTTTGGGTGTGCATATAGTAATATGAGATATGTGTGTTGTAACTTAGAATGTGCTAATGGCCTAAGCCTAATAGATAAAATGTATGCATTAATAAATAATTGACAATAAATTCTAATGAATTGATATTTCTATCCAATTTTTTTTAAACACATTATTAATAAAGTGGTTTTGAAAACCAATGCATTTTAACAAACAATTCACTTGTGTGATTTGAAACAAGAATTTCCACTCTTTTGAGATAATTATCCAACAATTATCCAACAAATTGTAGTGAAGGTACATGAGTTGATTCTTGCTTCATACAACAATACCAACTATGTTAGATCCCATTGTTGACAATGACAAAAAGCTTCTCCGATGTGGCACTGATCAAAATAAAATTTCTATTAACAAGTCACAAAACCACAACAATAACAATAACAACAACCATATGTAGACACAATACAATACTTGGTGGAGATAGTTAAACTTTGGGTAGATAGAACAATATCCTCAACTCAACTATCATGTTTAGGATAAATAAAGGACCTTCTAGACATTTGCCTTATTTGCTTAAAGAACAACCTTTACAATCAATACCAATACATCATCTTATACATGGTATAACAAATTAGATACTTTCTTCAGTCAGAACCATGTATTATTATGTCAACTGCTACAATTATAACAGCAAAAACTCTACACCCACACCAACCCCCATCACCAAAATGCACACATCTGCAATACATTACCCTCTTCATATCTCTCTTTCAGTTTCAGTTCACATGTCCATCCCAACTTCCATCACAACCCTCACAACTCTTCTCATTCCTGCTTTCTCCATCATCATCCAACATTCTCTCTCATTCATGCAATCTCTCCCAACTCCAAAACCTTCGCAGGTCTACCTTTCCCTGCTTGTCAAAACCAGGAAACCGACTCTTTCACCTCGCACAATCCTTCTCCACTCTGTCATTCAAATGAAGCTTACAACCACAATATCCAACAACCCGCTGGTTCCGATCTCATACAGCACTCGCCAGTTCCCACATACAATGCTCATTCCGAATCCTACATTGCACTGTTGCCCGTCACCACACATTCATTGTCCATTGTCCATTGTCCACCGGGAAGTAGAGCGGTCCAAAACATCAGAGTTCCCCGTTCTGAACAACGCCTGCTACTCGCTCACTCACTACCCTCGGCCGCTCAAATCTCCGCGACTGACAATGCAAATCATGAATGCACAGGTGCTCCTTGCTCCGACTGCATTCGTTGCTTTCAGCGAACAAAGCTGCACGACACGATTCCATTGCCTGTCCATGCGATGTTCATTGCGTGCACCGTGGACCACCGGTTCTACAATACCACCATGTTCCCGGCTTCCCCCCATCGCCTCAAAACCTAATCCCACACTGCGTTTGTGACACGACAACGAGGTGATGAAAGCAAACCCATGGACACGCTCCATGACACAGGTTCCACGAAAGACCCAGTCGAGGGAGCTGGGACAGCGGCCTGAATGACCTGTCGCCCTGCTGCCACAACACGACGCATCACAAGACTCAGAGGATGGCAACTTCCCCCCGAGACAATACAGACCCAGACACTAGGACTGCAAACGGACGCCCATGCTCGTTCTTTTCTCACAGAATCCGGGATTTGGACCAAAACTTTTATTAACCAAATTTTACACTCTCGGCGTGCCCTCATCGTTACCCAGTCCTAGCCATCCCTTCCCGTCACCACCTTCTGTACATCAGTCAGCTTATTTGAATCAACAAATGCCTACTAGTAACCTCCTCAACATCCAGCCGAGAGTCGCCTCATGGCTCGCGATGCCTCCTGACGCAGCGCTCCGCTGCTTGGGCGCAGTTTGCCCCAGCCCCTGCCCCATTGGTCATTGACAACTAAATCCGTCTCGCGTCGCACCGCAGCTCCGAACCGGGCGCTTGGGGGCGGCTACGCTAATCCACGTCGGCGTCGCTACGAAACCGTCGAGGTGCTTCGACACTTCGACGGTCGTACCGATCAGTCGCCGAGCCCGAACCCACCCTCCCAAACGCGCTCCGCTCCCGCGAGAGCTCACTGTGAGGGAGTCTTCAAACCAATTTTCTCGGCGATCCTCGACGCGTCCCTCTTGACGGCCTTCGCAGCCTCTATCCCCACCTCCTTCAATCCTTGCGCCGTTTCCTTCGTCTTCTCTGGGATGTCCTTCGTCATGTCCTTCGCGGTGTCCATCTCCCTGTTCACCGCGTCCTTCACCTTGTCCACCACGCCCGCGCCCTCCTCTTTGGCTTCGTATGCCTTGTTCTGTGCAGTTCCCGAAGCCGATCGCGCGGTGTCCTTGGCATTCTCGGTCGCTCTTCCCGCGGACTCCTTCGTTTGGCCGGTCACGTCGCTGGACACTTCCTTCGCCTTGTCCGCCACGTTGCTGGCCGTCTCCTTGGCATTCTCTTTCAGCTCTCCGGCCTTGTCCGACATGCTGCCGGCCACGTCCTTCGCCTTGTCAGCCGCGCTGCTGGCCGCATCCTTGGCATTCTCCTTCAGCTCTCCGGCCTTGTCGCTGGCCTGGTCGGTCTTCTCCTGGGCGTACTCCTTGCTCTTCTGGGCCGCATCCCCTGCCTCCACCTTGGCTCTATCGAAGGTCTGCGTCCCATCGGCGAAGAGCCGTCGCAGAATGCTCTGGGCAGGGGCGGTCCCCAACGCCGGAGCAGTTGCCCGGGCTGCGGTCGCGGGCCCTGCGAAATGCTGCCCCGCCACCTGAAACCAGAAACCGTCGCCTCGTTAGCTCTGTTACGCAAGCCAGCATTCAGGCTTCGCTGTGCACGACCTAACCTAGACGTACGGTTTTCAAGCTGATGCTCGGTCTTAAACTGATCAGACTGGATTACTAGAATCCACCTCTTCCGCGCACGCACCTACACACAAGCGCCCATCTCTGCCACACACTACTGCCCCGAAGCCAGCTGATGCTAAACTCCTGCGACAAAGAATGACCGCTGGTACCAACACGCACGCCCCCGACTTCATGACCAAAGCCGGCTGTAGCACCCTCGATTATCGTGAGTCCACCCGACCCGACCCGACTGACCCTTGGCACCACAATTTCTCTCAAATATCAATGCGGCCGGACAACACAGACAGACGCAGGGCAAAAAGCACTTCACGCCGCACAACCAACGATAGCCAATAGCAGACAGCACAATCTCTACGACCACCCACTTGCAGACCGTCCCTCCGGGCCCTAGTCGTTGTTCGTGCGGACGGACGTTTCACCAGCCATTGCATTCGCAGCGGGTTTCGGCGAAATACGCCGACCGCATATTCACGTGATGCATCCAGCAAACCACCTACCACCCCACTCCATGTTGTGTACCTGTGCCACTGCGCTCCTGTGAAGAAGTCTCAACAGGCTGGTTCCCCTCGTGGCTGCCATGGCGCTCCGATGGATTGATCCGAAACTCGCCTCGACACTTTTGGGCTCCCCCAAAAACTCTGCACGGGCGGCCTCGTGAGCTGAGCACCGAAACACTGGAATACGAGTCTAAACTGATCAAGAGCTAGAGAGCGCGAGAATGTCCGATGAGGCGTGCTAAGAAACCGATTGGCGCTGCACGAATTCGAGATGATAAGTCAGTTGCGAGACGGCCCTGGAGGTTGTTGGCGAGAGCGAGAATTTGAGGTCAAGCAGTTGCCCATGGGGAGGGGGGGCTGTGAACGAGGTGGAAGAGCGACACACCAAGAAAGACAAGTGTCACCCATGAGAGCCACCGCGACACGTGTGCTGATCCCACGTGTCAGCACAGCGCCAGTCCGAGGGGGCTCTTCCTCGCGTACCGCTCCATACCATGGTGCGTCTGAACTTGGGTTTAGGGTGAGGTCGAGCTTAACGTGGCGCCCGGCCTAGCTCCTGCACTTCCAAATTCGGGGACTATTTCCGTCAGAATTGTGAGTGGGTAAGATCGCGGCGAAGGGTTGTGGACACGTGTTGGGGTCCTCTCTCGGAACACCCCGTTCTGAACGATCTGCTCTTCGCTTCATCGCGGAGGCAGATGTCCAGTCATGCTGGGGGGATGTCAAATTGAAGAAGTTCGACGGACGCAGAGCTGATGCACCTGAAGATTCAAGTGATTCTCCGGATTACAAAGTTTTCTGTGATCGGACGTGATCCGATTCAGGCAACTGAAGGAGAAGCTGTAATTTGAATGTATGAAGGTTGTTTGTGCCCGAAAATGCCACGTTCAGGGGTGGACGGTCGCATGGAGCACTGGAATGCGATGCGGTGAAGGTGTGGGACAACGTGGCCATATGATGTCGATTGCAAGTCGAGCCGTTTCTTTGCAGATCCGATTTCAAAACCGGTGGCGACAGCGTGATTGCGAGACTCCGTGACTGGACGTTTGAGCATGAAGTGTATAGCAGACCGCGATCCTGAATGAAAACATTGATTACCGAGGCTTTATTCAACCAACTGGATTGTCTTGAATCGGTTGCTGCGTCTTGGCGATGTTGCCCGTCCGTGCACCAGCCTTCGATGGGGAGGCGCAATGGTGCAGGAAGGGGAAATAATAAAAGCACACGAAAAGGAGAACGTGTCGCAAGTCTTGTTCTGGCATCACTCATCGTCGCCTAAGAGATTCGAACTCTTGCGGGGAGACCCCATGTACTTAGCAGGCACACGCCTTAACCACTCGGCCAAAGCGACACAGGATGTTCCCATTATCTTTTTTGTGGTACTTAACTAAGCACAACCATAGGCCCTCCCCAGTCTCCCGCTTGTGCCGGTTCATGTCAGAATGCGCTCTGTCCATCGCAGTCTGCTAGATAGAATGGCAGGGTGTTCATCCACAAGTAGACTGGCGCCCAGCTGGGCGTTCAGGACGAAAACCCAACCGCGCTCAGCCTCGAGACGGGGAGCCCTGCCGATGTGGGTCGTCCCAGCGGGTGGTCTTTATCTTCGGCTGTGGTGGACGACACTCACCGGATGTATGCACCGCAGGACACCAGAAAACATATCCCGTTCAACTATGCCATTCTACTTCTTCCCACTGTGACGCAAGGCCAACCAGACTCAAATCCAACAGAAAGTTTGAAGCCAAAAAGGATTTCTTTACTATTTCTAGTAGACTGCGATGGACAGAGCGCATTCTGACATGAACCGGTACAAGTGGGAGACTGGGGAGGGCCTATGGTTGAGCTTAGATAAGTACCACAAAAAAAATCTTAAAGAAATATTTTTAAAATATAAAAATAAACATTTAAAGAAATGAAAATAATCTTTAAAAAAAAATACTAGAAATAAAAACTTTCAAAAAAACTTTCAAAAAAACAAAAACAACAACAACAACAACAACAACAACAATAACAAATCCTAAAGAAATATTAAAAATAAAAAATCTAAATAAATTCTAAATAAATTCTAACCAAATATTAATTTAATCCTAATCAAAATTCTAATGAACCTTAATCAAATCCTAGGTCAAATCCTAAACCAATCCTAATAAATCCTTAATCAATTCCTAAATTTTAAACAAATCTTAACAATCCTATAGAAAATTAAAATTTCAATGTCTAATATTTGAACTATTGGTTTTGACTCAAAATTTGTATATCTTATAACAACTAAGTAAGCAATAAACAAAAAAAAAATTGAAGAAGATTACACATTCCAATAGTAAGCAAAGCTCTCAAAACCTCTTGGTTGTTGGCCACCTTTCTTTTCCAATTTAAATATTGATCTTTCAACATCATTTTTTCTTTATTGAACCATTCAATTATTCAAAAATTAGATTGTATGTAGATATTAAAGTATTAATTTCTCTCATCAAATTTTTCTTTAATCCAATAAGCAGATATTGCTAGATCTTGGAATCACTCATTGACCCTAAATCTCAAATTTTTGAGACCATAATCCACAAAAATCTTCATATGCTTCAATTTAATTGCTTGATTGACCTCAAATTTTCACACATATTCATTACAAGTACAAAAAAAAACTATCAAAATTTCACTTATAAATGTGCTATGAAATTCACAAAACCTTCAAGTTTATAAACTTATTTTTATTTCTCAAAATCTAAACACACAAAGCACATCACTAACTTTGAAAATTCTTCTAAACCTCAATATTAATTTAAATGATATGAAACTAAATTTTAAAAATCTCTTTTCAAGTCTACTTTCAAATCTCACTCTTTAATCTGCAAAAGAATCCCAAAGTTGCCATAGGAGCTTAGTTTTGTACCTTATGGCTTGATTTTGACTTTGATTGGCAACTAATTCTTTCTCGATATTAATTCTTGTCTTTTAAAGGTACTTTTTGTTAAATTCAACTTCTAATTTCTTAAATATGCTTATATTCTTTATTTTTTTAATCTATTTTTTAAAAAAAATTATTTATGGCTCTTCAAAGTAAATAGAATCTAATTTCATAAAAGACAATTTTAATACTAATAGATTTTATTATTTTCCTATCATTTATCTATGTTTTTTTACTATAATTTTTTAATTAGGCTCTTCTATAATAAAATAATTTCTTTTTTCTTTCATCTAGTGGATGTGTTATTACATAACAATGTCACAAACAAGGTTTTGGAATATTGTAACATATATGGTGGCTAAACATTATCATTGTTGTGAAGTTATAAATTTGGTCTCTACTACCCATCCTCAATCACTTTCTTCAAATGTGGCCATAAAGACTTTTAAGAATGAATTTAGATTATAATGGAGTTGTGAATCTTTTTCTATCAAAGATGCAAATAAAGAGAGAGCAATCTCAAATAGAACTGCATCTATGAATCCAACTTGAGTAAATTTGCTAAGCTATTGAAAAAGATCCAACCTTAGAAAGAACTTCACTTATTATAAAAATATTCAAAACTTTGATCTTGTTTTTCAAACTTCTCTAGCATAATATCTTTACGTCTTTTATACTTGTAGTAGTAAGACTTCTCAAATTTAATTATAAACTTGATCTACTTACTTCTATCAAGGACATGAACTAGAAGAAGATGTATAAACCTGAAAAATCTATGTTAAAAGAAAAGTGACAAAATAGTAATAAAATAATATGTATATTAAAAGAAAATTGGAATGGCTATTGCCAAAAGATAAGAAAATTAGAGACTCTTAAATCTAGACTAGAAGTAAGAAAGAAGTTGATAAGAGTGAAGAGGGCTTCACTCTTGCTTCTATATATACTATCTAACTAGGAGCTACATGGCGATGTTCTATAAGACCTCTAATATGTGTTGACTTTGCGAGACACATGCCTTGACTTACAAGGCAAGTTTTCTATGTATGGGCCACATAATAAGCTTGTTCTTCAAGTTAATAATATGTGTGGCACATGGCCAACTTGTTGACCACATTTCTAACCTAAAAAATTAATTAAAGACATCTATAAAGGTAAAGCAATGTCTATGAAGCTTCTATAGAAGATATTATGGAATTAACCTATTTTTACCTACTTTTATCTAAATCATATAAGTAATTATTAATTTACATGTGTATGTCCGTGACATTATCTTCTCTTCTAAAGACAAGTTCCATAAGGAGTGGTCTTCATATATTGAAGAAATCCAAGATGCAATAAATTATATTTGCCACATACTCTAATCTTTGTTCTCTTCAAAGGTAATTGATAGGCCCTCTCAGCCATTGATAGTATCCCATATAAAGATGAGAAGACTACCCTATTATTTGATCATTGTTGAGGCCTTCGTAACTTCTTTCAAATAAAACATTTGGAACACCGTCAAGAGTTGTTCCTACCTCTAATAAAATCACCAAACATTGGGAGTCTCTTTCAAGGTCATGATACCAAACACATTGTATCTCACTATCTATTCAAGGAAGGACATGTCATTCTTGAGGATCTTCATCTTGATTTCATTGTCTTAAAAGTTGTGACAATTACAATATCTCATTTTGTAAGTCTGCAAATGAAAGCTCTTGAGTCGAATCTGTTGGTTGTTAGTTCTTCATCTCCTTAGTGTCATAAATACAAAAACACTACAAACACAAATAGAAAGTAGAATGCAATCTTCTTTAGATCTTGTTTCTTTTATAATAAAAGACTTATTATTCTTCATCTTGATTTGAATAGATGTCGTCGATGGAAAGCCTACATCACCTTTGCTGCATTTGTAAGATTCTTTATTAGCTTCCATGTGCATTTATTAATATCATATCTGTACCAATGGATAAGATATTCTAATTTATTTCAGTGCCTCTTTGAGTTTAGAACTTCTTCTACTTCAAATTCTTCATTATTGTCCACTTTTATAGGAGGAGGTGGAGCTTATCTTCTTCTTGATATGTTCATAGTCTTGTATGGTTTAATAAGAGATATGTTGAAGATCAGATGGATCTTCATTACCTTCAATAGATGTAATTAATAAATAATTGGATTGATTTGTCTACAAATAGGAAAAGATCTAAGTCTGCAGTAGTCCAACTTATCACAAGGACGAGTAGTCTTGATATTACGATGAAACAACCATATCTTGTCACCTACATTGAATTGCGGTTGTTCCTTTTGATAGGCATCTGCATTGATCTTTTGTTGTTCTTAAGCTTCCTTTAATTGCACCTTCATTGTTGCATGTAGCTCTAACAAACAATTTTCAAACCTTCTGCCATAGGATTATTAACTTTTGAAAAGTCAAAAATATCAAGTCATGGATGGTA